AACAAGAAGAGCGCTTATACGAGCCACACAAAACTGCCGCTTTAGAGGAAGCGAGCTATTCTGTGATCAGCAGGACTAAGAGGTCTAATTTCGTGCCTTCTGTCACCTGGGCTCCCCAATAACTCCCTTCCCTCAGTCCTTATCTCTTTACTGGGCACGTCAGCGCGGCAGGTTTAGACCTAGCTACTGGGGAGCCGGTACGTATTCTGCTTCATTAGCCACCGTGTGCAGCGCTGGATGGGTGGCTAGAGGGGCTTAGAGAGGGCAAGGAGCCAAGGTCAGTAGCGGGAGCTCACTAGGGCTTTTGCGGGTGTTGTTGGGTTTTTGGGGGGGGTTGGGTGATTTGGTCCCACCCCACGCACACCCACCCTCCAGTTTTTATGAGTCTGGAAGGATCTTTTTCTTCCAGTTAGCTTCGCTTGAGAGGTTTCAAAGTTCAAAAGTTTTCCATTTGTAGAGACGGACATCTAGATAGGCAAACGCGTGTTGTGGTTACCTTGAAGAGGGAATGTTTTCCATCCGCCTCTTTTATGTGTGTCATGGTTTAGCCCCAGCTGGCAACTGAGCCCCACACAGCCACTAGCCCACTCCCCCTTGCTGGGATGGACAGGGAATCGGAAAAGTGAGTAAACTGGTGTGTTGAGATAAAGACAGTTTAACAGGTAAAGCAAAGCAAACCAAGGAATTCATTCACCACTCCCCATGGGCAGGCAGGTCTTCAACCACCTCCAGGAAAGCAGGGCTTCGTCACGCGTAACGGTGACTTGGGAAGACAAACGCCGTCACTCTGAACATCCCCGGCTTTATATGCTGAGCGTGACGTCATAGGGTCTGGCATATCCCTTTGGTCCGTTGGGACCAGCTGTCCCGGCTGTGCCCCCTCCCAACTCCTTGTGCTCCCCCAGCCTCCTCGCTGGCGGGGTGGGGTGAGGAGCAGAGAAGGCCTTGACTCTGTGTAAGCACTGCTCAGCAATAACGAAAACATCCCTGTGTTAACGACACAATAGTGTTCTCAGCACAAATCCAAGACATCGCCCCATACTAGCTACTGTGAAGAAAATTAACTCTACCCCAGCCAAAACCAGCACAATATGTGAAATTATTACTGAGCCTTTAAATTTATTTATGTATTGAAATTATCAGTGTAATAATATTGTGACTTTTATTTCACAAACAAATGCCTTCCAGATTATGTCCTGTATTTATCTTTTTATAAAGAGGATATTACCATCATCTTTATGGATGTTTTTGACTTTTTGGTGAACATTTAGAATTTCTCCACTTGGAACAAGTGGTCTTATCAATCATCCTTATAAATTCTCTGATTTTTCTTGTGTTCCCAGTTCACAAAAAAAAAAAGCCTTCACTTTTCTGTTAGAGCGAATATTAAAGCACACACCAGGCTGCAGTGAGATCTAAACTTTTGAACTGCAATTTTTATTATTTTGCTCTTTAGAGAGAACGCCTGATTTTATAGAATTGATAGCAACAGTTTAGCGTGTCCTAATGTCCTTTGGGAGCAGTGGTGTGCTCAGACAGATGAGTCGTCGTCTGAGTTTATGAGAACATAGCGGCAGTCTAGCCTCGGAAATTTGTCTTTGTGCCACCAGTGTTTTTCAAATTCTATAGAAATGTCTTTAGGTACTCGATATACTCTCCCAAAAATAGAAGGCATAAACAAGTGTGATTTTTAACATTTTATTAACATTATTTCACTGGTAGCTCAGTCTCAGTGTAGCATTTCCTCAGAATCGCAGTTTTATTACAAGTCAGAGCTATGTAAATTCTCCCCTATGTGAATGGAGTCATCTATCTAAAAGGGTGTGAGCTGGATCCAGCATCTGTGTACTCGTCTGCTAATAAAGAAATCCCTCTGCACAATAGCATTTTACCATCAGGCTGTGAAGCCACATTCATAAATCCCTGTGCAAGAGAATGAAATTATTCCTGGCTATTGATTGCAAGGCTGTTAGAGCCTTAATAATAACTTCCAGTTCATCATTTCCTTCCCTTTACCTCTGGTATCTTTGAGCTGTGCGCCATGAAGGACAATCAATACTGCCAATATCAGACCGTTTTGCTGTAATTTCCCAAAAATTTAAATTGAGAAATTATCAAATAAGTAGCTTTTTGTCATTATGTCTTGCAAATGTCAAGCAAGTAAAAAACTATTGACTGTTTTGTGTATGTATATTATTTATGTGTATGTATGTGTACGTGTTTATATATATAATACATAATATACATATATTATGTGTACATATGCATACATACTTTATATATGTATATGCTTATATATAGTTTCTTATTTTATTTGGTGATTCTGCTTCCTTGAAGATCAGTAGGAATTTTGTCGTGACGTTCTTTCCTGCCGAAAGTCTAAGTGACTCTGTATCTTCTTAACTGCTGACTGAAATGTAAGGCTTCACGTACTTGCAAAAGCCTTCGTGTGTGACAACGAAGCATTGAAGCCAAAATACCGACTGTATTCTCATGGCCTGATATGAAGGAAGCGGATTTGTATAGTCCTGTAGACAGTTACATTACTTCATTTGAATTTATTGTTTTACTATATTTGAATTTAGGTTTTTTGAACTAAAATACTTACAGGTAAAAAATAATACAACCATCAACCAGAAAAAGGAGGGACGACAAAGGAAAATGATTAGGCTGTAGCTTCAGTTGTGCATTACCGTGTTCAGAGCATTGCCACATATATAATGTATATATCTATAACGGTGAAAGTCAGTGGGAAAGAAAACTAGAATGTGTTGTCTAATGTAATGCCAGGATGCTGTACTCAGTCAGATTCAGTTGTCCTTTTTTTGTCTGCATGCTGTTTACTTGGGTAGTAAGTTTTTTTTTAGTACTCATCAGAAGCAACACAAAATTTTCATTCTTGTGGTCAAAAAGTCAGGAGTCTAAAGACTCCTGATACGTAGGCACAGTCGTCTGTAACACAAGCTAACCGGTGTTCTCACTTACCTTCTTTTTTAGCTAACTGCCTGTATAAAAGGCCCTTTAAAAGATAAAACTGCTCTGTAATACCTTTTTATTTTCTATTATCTGGCATTTTGAGAACTGTAACCTTTCTTTTAAAATCTTATAATGGAAATACATAATATCATACTCATTACACCATTTTAGCAATTACCTTTTCAGGAACATGTATTTACAATATCCTTAAAGTCAAATGTCACAGTATAATCATGTTTCATACTTTTCGGCGTTTGATCCTGTGTACATCCTGCCTGAATCCATCAAAGAAATTCTACCAGCATGGGTTCATTGATCCATGCACGTATTCAAAAGCCTGTGCCTTGCTGAAGGTGTAAAGGTGCAGTTTGTCATTGGGAAGCTTCTGGCCCACGTCAGCGTTGGCCACTTCACCGCAGCTGTGACGCGCGGCTGTGGCTGTTGGCTTGCAGGCGTCGCAGGGCCACGTGACTCTAGATCCACCTTCAATTTTGGCAGAAACGACTGAGGGCAACTTGCACCCCCAGCACAAGTGGCATGGTCGTGCTTGCCTGGGTCCGCAGAGCACTTGCACAGCTCTCAGCTGGTGGAAGAACAGAGAAACGGGTTGTACAGGAACCAGTGGCAGCAACAGTCACGGATGGGAGCCACCGGGAGCCTGTGTGGACGGGGCGCAGTTCAGAGCACCTGAACTGCAAGTGGGTCGTTGCTTCGCATCGCTGTCTGGCTCCCAAAGCAAAGAGCTGGCAAGGTCAGGAGAGTCGAATGCTGTTTTGTAAGAGATGCCTTCCTGAGTCAGGGTACTCAACAGGAAGGCTACGGAGATTTAGGCTAAAACAACAGTCTAGGGTAGCCCTGTGGCCAAGGCAGTCCTTGTTCTTGCAGTCTGTGTAGTATCAGTGCCCCTGGACTTGCTTTCTTAGCTCAGACCTCGGGGCTTGAGACAGAGGAACGCCGAGATGCTCTAAACTTCTCCGGGTGCATGCTGTGGCGGGAGGTCTAGATGTGCGTCTGTCCGAAAAGAGTGCACTGGTGAAGCTTGCTCACTTAAATAAAGCAAAGGAAAGAAGGTCCAAAGACGGTTGGTGTTTCCAAAAGAATATGTGGTTGGTATGGTCAGCCTTGAATGTGTCCTTTTCTGCCACATTTCTGAGCATATAGCACAGTATGTTAACGTTTAAAATTAAATACCCTTTCCCAAATCCTCTTGGAGAGCACTTGCCAGTCCTGAAAACCACCCATCTTCCTATAGACAGCCACTCTGTATTTCTGCACCAGAGCCCCTTCTGCAAGGCATATTTCCGTACCTTATTTTTTGTGCTAATGTAGGTCTGTGCTATTTTTTCTTGAAGGCAATCAGTCCTCCAGAATATGCTGAAGTAGGTCTCCTAATGAATTCTTTCTTAGTATGTTTGAGAATCACCACAGTAGGCAAAAGCATTTGAAGAAAAACTGCTCTCAAAAATAGCTCAATTAAGAACACTAAAGAAATTATACTCACCTATACAGTAACTACAGTCCTTCAGAATGGATTGTCCTTGTACATTTTCCACTAAGTAGTCACCTTTCTGTCTGTCTTTTTTTTTTTCTTTCTTTTTTTTTTTTTTTTTTTTTTTTTTTTTTTTTTTTTTTTTTTTTTTTTTTTTTTTTTTGTTTTGTTTTGTTTTTTTTGTTTCTATATTCTGGAGAGAAACCATAGTAAAAATAAATATTCAGAGCGATAGTGGCTTCTGCACTTTTTTGGTACTTGGTGAGATAAACCCAGTTGTGTGTTGGTGGATGGAGCGGGTACTGCTGGCAACAGAATTCATTTACATTATATTGTTTCACTAAAAAATTGCTGGAAATCTTACGGTGTGGTTGCAAAACTTCCAGTACGGAGGGTATTCAAATATACATTTTTCTGTCTTTGATATTTTCCGTGGATTTATGCAGTATTTATCATACAGTGCTTATATAGTTCCTGTCACTTCTTAAATCACAAAGTGGTTTTTACAGCATGGTTCTCTGTCTTCTTTTCGTAGGCATTTCCTATTTAAACATGGATCCGGGTCTTCAGCTATCTTCAGCGCAGCCAGTCAGAACTATCCTTTAACATCCAATACTGTTTACTCTCCACCTCCTAGGCCTCTTCCTAGAAGTACCTTTTCCAGACCTGCCTTCACTTTTAACAAACCTTACAGGTGTTGCAACTGGAAGTGCACTGCTTTGAGCGCTACTGCTATCACAGTTACCCTGGCGCTGCTGCTAGCCTATGTTATCGGTAAGCCCCTCTTGCTCTTCTGCGCTGAATTATTCTTCACCTTTTCTGCTCGGTTGTCTTGCTTGCTTTTACGCTAATACAACTCATGTTTTACTAATAACGTTTGCCGTTGGGTGCTTTGTAAATTCTGGCGAACAAAACGCTGGGTTGGCCAGAGGTTGAATACGACATGGAATTCTCATTAACTTTCTACTCTGTTAACCTTGATACTGCCTAATAGAGAGAGAAATATTATTCAAGATGACATGTTTATACTAGCAGAGGACTCCTACTGATTTTAATTGCGGTGATATTTTTCTTAAATTAAACATTTGATTTTCATATTAAGCCTTACAACATTGTTGTTCTTAAAGGATTATTTGGAAAAGGCTGATAACGCTTAATTGTATTTTACCTTGCTACCTTTATTTAATTTCTTCAGTCTGATTGCAATTTAAATCTTTCATTTTCTCCTCTTAATTCGTATATCATTGACTAGAATGACAGCTAGCTCTAAAAATACGTAGTATTTTACACCATGTTTTCTAAGACCTATTTTGCTGTCCCTTTATTGAATTTATGTTTCAGTAAAATGTTACATAGGTTGAAGTGCAGTTACTTAATTTCAAACTCATCTTTGTAAGTACCTAACTTTGCAATTTTCTTATCATAATAAGTTGTCAGGTTTTATCAGAGTAGCTAGAAACACCTCTTTTTTGGAAGATAGATATATTGGAGGTAGGCTTGAAGTCAATGTGATTACAATCGTACATGGGAAAGCAAGTCTTTGTGACTTTCTATATGACATTTTGGCTGAACATTAATTATCCCATTGGTTTTTCAATTTGAATTGAAAATATTACAAAGTATTCATTAGGTAGAATCTTAGAATGTGACTGCGGCTTCTGTAAACATAGGAAAATCAAATTAATTTTTGCTTGTGTGACGCGCTTTCTCATGGTGCACGCACTCTTGATTTGTTGATTTAGTTGCCAGTTCACAGGTGGGCAGGAGCCAAAGTATCCCCAGCATCTTGTAGCTTGAATGGGAATAACCCTGGGTTTGCCTGAAAGAGTGGTTTGTACTTGGTAAAACTTGTACAGAGATACAAGTACAGCTATCTCCAAACCGATAAGTGGCCACTGATTTTCTATATTCTCTGAATTAGTGTCTTTATAGTGCAAATAATTACAATTTCAGTCATTTTTCTTTTCCACTGTTGTTTTTTTTTTGTCCCATAGTGACAAGATTCTGGTTACTGTCAGTGAGATGCTCATCAGGAGGAATTTTTTCTAAAATCCTCATCTAATGCATATGGGAAAGCAGATTTGATCATTTCTGTTGTATGATTAGTTGAAAGCACCTGAGGATCTAGTAAGCTGCATTAATTGCAGATTTACATAACAGCTGGTGAGCATATGCCCTCATTTAGGACTGGCTGTATAATTTTTGCAGCCTCATCTGCTTGCTACATACATACCCCACCCACACCATTTAGATTTTATCTGGGTGAAGTACTGCCTGTTTCATCCCTGCTTAGATTTCAGTCTGCCACTGAAAATTTTTTAACTTCTAGAGATATACTGCAGCATGTCATCAGCCTGAGAAAGCTGTAAGTGCTCCGTGTCACTGTGAATTAAAAAGCTCTATATGGATTTCCTGTAGACGTGTCTACATACGTGTAACATAAAGATGTAACAGGTTTTCTTTAGTTGGGCAGAACTAGGTAAAATGAAAGTGTCTTTGTATTTTGTAAGTTAATAGTATTTCTAGTTGTGTTTTCTATAGCAAAATATAAATCTCTGAATGAGGAATTATAATTCAGAAAGTTTTGCAAGATGCCATTATTTGCTCTTGTTTGCCTCAGAAATTTTTCAGCTGTATAAGCTTTCCTACAGATTCAGGTAGTATTAGTTAGGTTATTCCAAATTAATATTCATGTTGCCCATTTCTGATTGGTTAAATATTTAAGTAAGTTCATGGTCTGTTCTTACGAGTCGGGTACCTTACTTCTTTCCCTTTTGCTAAGTATGAATAATAGCATGTAAACTACTTTCAAAGTTCACTTGATCTGTAGGGTTTCATATTTGCATATCGTTTCACATCAAAAATTTCAATGTACATGTTTTAAATAAGAGCAGTTGAACACACAAAATCAGACTGTGTGTAACACTCTGAAGTTAAAATTCACTCTCCCGAGTATTTTCTCTGTGCCCACCATAATTCAGGTCCCTCAGTCCTCACTCCAGGCAGGTTTTCTTCAAATCAGAGGGAGCTAAGTCTAAGCAGGGACTACAGACTTGGGCCTAAATTGCAAAACAAAACTCATTTTAATTTCAGGATCAAATCTAACCTGGGATCAGCTGGTTGTTGCTGGAACAATAAGGGAGACTTTGTAAAGGCAAAATTATTTTCAGCGTTGTATTTTATGGCCTAGGCTGCATGACCTGCGATCTCAAGCTAAATGAACGTAGATCAAAATTTAACTTTAAGCTTTTTCTTCCCTTTATCTAATAACTTAGATGTGCTTTCTCAAATGTCTCGTGCTGCCATTAGATGCGTGAGCTACATTTTAGCTAGGGCCAAACCTCAGCCTCGAGTCAGAACATTCCCAAAGTCTTGGAAACCCAAAGCTTGTTCTAGATCAAAAATTTGCAAGTGGCTCTCACGTTTGTAATGAACTGAGACCTGTGCCAGGGTGCTCTAAGCTGTGATTTCTTTGCAGTCAAAAGGTAAAGTAGCAAAATGGTTTTGTATTTTATTTTTCAGTCTGTCTTATCAGTGAGACTCAACAGAGAAGCTTTTACTTGAGAACACATACTTCTTCTGTATTTTCTCTCCTTTGAACTACTAGTCAGTTAAAACAATTTTTTTTTCTACATGTTTCCACTTCTGGCCTATAATCACCATGTTTATTATTTGGTCTTTTCTGAAATAAATTTGACTACTATATGGACAGTGAGGAAATTATAGAACCCTGTAAATGGTTCTGTAACAGCTGATTTGTTGAAAATATTTAGTTTATCAAGTAAAACACATATTTTCACTTCAACTGGAGTAATTTCTGTGAATAGGTTCTAACATCATAGTAGTTACTCCAAGAAAACCATGTTTCATAAAGTGGGTGTTCGGTCTCCGCAATGAATGAGTTGAATTATTTACTATTGAATAAAGAGATATATAACTTCTATTTTTCTTCTGTACTTTCATATACGTTGAGAAGTGTAACGCATTCGTGGCGCTCTGGGGCATGACTGCTCGAATTTGCGCACGAGGAGGGCGGTGAGGCGGGTGGGCGATGGGGACGCGCAGCAGGGAGGCGATGTCGGTGCGTGTCATCGGCGCGTCGGGCGCTGCAGCAGCCTCACCAGCGGTTCCCGAGAGCCAGCCAGGGCTGTGGGGAGCGAGCGGGGCGTTCGGTCGAGGCCGGGTGAAATTGCCGGTGGAGTGAAGGGCTGACGGGGGGGAAAGGAGTGACCTGCCCAACAGGTCAGCAACACGGAACGGGCAAAACCTGCCCTCCAGCACTGGCTGTGTCTGGAGGGCGCACGAGCGGTGTGTGTTTTACAGATTTATGCAAATGAATGCTCAAATTGAGGGGAAAAGAAAATCCTGAGGGAAAATACTTGAAATCCAGTTATCTTAAAGTTTTTTATGTTTGATTGTAAAACAAAAATGGATAAATCCCTGGCTATGCATCGATGTATAGTTCTCTTGCATGAGGTGTTTGAAAGGACTGAGCTGGACCCATTGTCATGGCTGAGATATTTACAGAGGTGGCACCTTGCAAGAGGACGGTGTGGAAAAGAAAACTGAAATTTCTCTCATACTTCTAAGTAGTTTATCTTCTGTGGTAAGAAAGATGAGGACCAGCAGATGCTGTGTACACACTGATGTCCAAGGGCTATAACACAGATGGCAAATTATCGCATGAAAGACAAGAATGTGTCTGTCTGACTCAATGCAGTCAATAGTTGTGTCCCTCTGTTCACCTGTTGGTCTGCGTTGCTCTAAAGGGTATAAAATAGGCTACCGTTGTGGAACGGTGTAGTAAATACTCTTTTTTTAACCTCATTGTAATAAAAACCTAAGAAGCCATCAGCAACTAAAGAAGAAATTTGACCAAAAATTCACCTAAGAAGCCATCAGCAATTAGAGAAGAAATTTGACCAAAAATTGTAAGAGTAAACAATGCAAATAGATATGCCGATAGAATAAGAAATGTATTTTTTCTGTAACTTCTCAGCACTGCGCCGTTTTCTTTAAGTGCAATACAATGTTCGATGTGGCTGCTCATCTAGTCAGTTATTTTTAGCCCATTAGTAAGTAGGATTTTTCTTCCATGATACCTTACCACTTTATCAGCAGCTGATTTGGACTTGCAAATCACTGGTCCTATTGATCAAAGGTGCTGAACTCCTACGGTTCCTATTGATTTTTAGCAGGAGATGCAAATGTTCAGTGCCTCTGAAAATTGCATCCCATGTTCTTAGATTTAACCATCCCTGACTACAAAATGACTGTTTTATATACAAATGAATTCTCAAGTATGAATACGAAGTTGTCCCTATCCTTCATGATATTATCACTATTTATGAGTGTGCGCTGGAGGTGGCTGTTGGGTCTTAAATTATATTCATATGGAGGGTGAGGAAATGAAAACCTCTCTGCTGTCTGCCACAGTGACCTGTCATTTCTCACACCGTACAAGGTAGAGGAGTGACGGTTTCAACATCGGGAAAGGCCAGGCCCAATTTTAAGGATGTATGTAACTCAATGCATAGATTTATAATATTGGTTGCATAGCTTTGTACAATATAAAACAGTAGGAAAAATAGAAATCCTTAACTCTGAGAACTATGAATTACGGAGAGAAGGCTCAAGGGGAAAATACGGTGATTTTACACTGAAGAATATCACGGTGTGGCAAACGTTGCTAAACGTTTCAGGTATATGTAAAAGCTGTGATGCAGACGCGCGACTCTGAAATGTTGTTGAACTCCGTAGCGGGGTTGCCCTCA